GCACAGTGTAATCCAATTTCTCCTGAAATCCAATGCAGCAGCACCACAGACTGACTCCAAATGTCCATAGAGGGGTAATAACACCTCCTGCACAAGAGTGTGACAAACACTGTAAGAACATAGACATGATGAGCTGGGAGCACCGATCAGGATTATCGAACTGGATCGTGTTATGTTGTGCATATTGCTCGTCTGTATGTCGGCTCCAGTAAAGTGATGCTGCGTTAGTGTGCGTTAGCTTTGGACTGCAGTCATCATGACTCCAACTTGACTAAGATTTGACTCACAAATCTGGTGCCTTATTACGTAATTAGGTTATTTGAAAATTGCTTGAAACCTGCTGGGAGCGCCTGGTGCGATGTGTCAGCATTACATCATGTAATTCATCTAAAATATGACTGTATTTTCTTTCAGACCAAATCATTGTGTTGCTCATTTTAGTGTGCACAGCTCACACAGTCATTCAAAGTTGCCGAGCAGCTGTGATGATGGTACCTGACTCAGTGTGTTGGTTTTGGGTAGTCACTTAAAAAGCACTCGTACAACAGCAGCTGGTGATGTGGCTGCAGGAAGTGGAGCTTACCTCTGATGTGCTGACGACGACTGCTAGAGACACAAGTGGGTAGAATAGACAAAAATTATACCGTGGAAATCTGTTTAAAAAGTCAAGCCTAGAAACAGAAGTAAAAGTACTAATTTAGGTGTCGACTTAAGTTGCAGCATTAACATATGTGAAGAAACTAATTAAATAAGAGTGACCAGATGTGGGTTCACTTACATCTTTGCTTTATGTAAATATGACCTACGTTTCAACCACAGATTGTTTTCCACGGGCTCAGATGAAGACGTTATTACATCCCAGTGTTTAAGGTCAGTTTGTGATTAAATGTCAAATCAGTATCTCTTGATTAGAAAACCCACTTGGTACGCCAGAGCAGGGTTTCCAGTCGTATGGCAGAACTTTGCTGTGCAAATAATGTCACAAGATTATACTCCATTGGATCGTTGCTTGTTGTCAGTGTTGTTATGACGAGGTCAGATATGAATGACCATGTCGATCCCTGATGGTAGAGATGTCCCAGTTCCCATCATAGATCAGCTCAGGTGTGAGTCCAACACATCCAAACATTATCAGCTCAAATGAAAACAACAACATTAAAGAAGCAGGTAATTTAGTTTTTGGTGTTGTTGAAAATGGCTAATAATAGATGGTAGTTAGGAGATAAAGACCTGAAGTTTCATCATGTATTGTGTATTACTTGTTCACTTCTTAACTTCCATCTTTGTTCCTCCGTGCCGGCAGCAGCCAAAGTCGCAGGCGGTTATGTTTTTAGTTTATCAAAACATTTGTCTCATAAACATATTTCATGGATGCCTCGAGGAAATTTCTTCAAATTAAGGTCTAACACTCACTTGGATTTACGGTTAGCCAGGTTACACTTTGGTTATGAACGGTCACCGTGACCCCACCAAACACACTTTGGCAATAAGTGAAGAATTCATGTTGTCATATGTCTAATGACTAACACGATAAAATGATCAAGTGATGATGTTTTATATCCAGAAGGTCAAACCTGGACTGATGTAAACTGCAACTCCACTGGTTGGTGTAGACATACAACCATGAGGGGCGAACCCAAGTCATAGAATAGAATAGAATAGAATAGACTAGAATGGAATGGAATAGAATAGAATAGAATAGAATGGAATGGAATGGAATGGAATAGAATAGAATAGAATAGAATAGAATATACTAGACTAGACTAGACTAGACTGGAATGGAATGGAATAGACTAGACTAGACTAGACTAGAATAGAATAGAATAGAATATTGTTTTATTGATACCCTATTGAGGGAAATGTACACGCCACAGCAGCATCCAAAAACTATAGAAAAGAAAGTACTCAGAAATAATAATGAAGTAATAAAATAAGTACATGCACACGATGACAGGGTGAGGGTTGATGTCCACATGAAATAAATCAAGTCTGTGGAGCAGTTTCATCCAAGAGGCCTTTTCAGTTCCAACTGACTGATCCCAGGTATTTACCGTCACCCTAAATCACCTGGATAATGGTCCACTAACATCCCAAAACTCACATGATTGGATGTGTTGATGGTGGTGATGCTGTCAGGGGAAGGGTCTCAAGACTGCACTATCAGTACATGGTAAGAGGTGTCGTAGACCTTCTCCTCTGTTTGGAGATGGCGGTTTCAGTTTAACACAAATGAATCCTTAATGCATCTCTGGAACCACCTGACAGATGCTGAGTGACCTGGGGTCTCTTTGGATCATTCATGGGCCAATATCAATGTGTTCTGGGGTTGATAATATATACACGAACGTGGGACTCTCTACCCATCAGCTGCAACCAAGGAAGACCCTTGGATGAGCGATAAATCATCTTTAAGGGTCGATGAAGAGAAGTAGGGTTGTCAGGGTACACCTAAAACCTCAATTTGTGTTTGGAGACAAACTCTCCCATCATGTGGGTCACCAGTCCAGCTTGGTGAATCTGTCATCTTCCTGCTTGGTGCTGCAATAGTTCTCTGGGCCGAGAGTTGCACTGAAGAAGTGGAAAGTGACCCAAGCAGTGCAAGAGTACTTAAAGCCTAATTGTTGTGTGTTCAATCAAAAGCTAGGAAACAGTTGGTAGAGTAGCATACATCCATCATAGAAGTGCTGCAATCAGTGAGTCAAGTATCCAGTTGAGTAATCAGCTAATTATGTCGTCAGAGCAGTGGTTGGTTGAGAACGTATTGTATCGGTCTGTAGGGTCCCGTGTTTGAACTGGGACGCCCTCAGAGGCTAATCCAGCCATCTGAGGCAGTCACAGGCTACAGGTACAGATCATCTCTCAGCCTCATGGTGCTACCTGTGTTGTAGTATATTCTAGTATTTGACTTGTTCCAGGTTTTTCTCTCTCTATGGAGCCTTGGTGATTATTGGTTCGTAGGCTAATTACTCAGCATATTCTAATTTCCTCTTAAACAAAGAAAGTCATTGTTGCTCTATTTCTACAGGCTTCGTGTTACAACTCTGTGCTTGAATCCACACTAATAAGCTGCTTTAAGTAAAAGCAAAGCTGAATACGCCAATCATGGCTGTGATAAGTCTGCCCTCTGCGTGCCAGTTCCTCATTATGAATCTCAATCAACTTTTAAATTGTACACACATGAACAAGCATCCATTCCCACCCTGTTAACTTCCGAAATCTGCTGAAAGGAGGTAATGAAATGCCCTTCATGAATATTGATATCCGTGTAAATGTTTTTGTCCTTCCCGTCTGTTTGTGGGGCTAAATGGAAAAAGTGTGAGATTAAACAGAAACTTCATTGTGAGTCAAGGTTAGAGGTATTATTTACTGGCCTTCATTCAGTTAGAGCTGGAACGTGTCACAACAGTGGTTAATGTTCAGAGCGCAAAAGCCCTTTAGAAAAAAAAATGAAATGGAAAAGCTTGACAGCAGTGTGTCAGTGGCAGTGGTGGGGATGATTGGACACCAGAGCTCTCTCCCCTTGACAGACCTTGATAAAAGGAAACTCTAATTAAATACAATGTGACAGAAGAACATAGTGACATCAGGCGGGCTCAGAGGATGTGGACAGTTGAGATAAGCCTCCAGTTGATTGACTGCCGCATTCTGCTTCCTTCCACTTCCCACTCGAGCCTCGGCAATTTCTCTACCAGCAGCTGTGTTGTCCTTTCAATTAGGAATAACACCAGAAAGCAGTCAACCCAGGTGACAAACTGCATGTTAGTGCTGGAGGACTGTGACAAAAGCTCAAATTGTGCAATTAGCCACAATAACACCCTCACCCCACCCACTCACAGCAATATACTGTATTTAGTGCAATTTAGTGTTGTCCTTGACGGTTCTGATTAGCTTCTGCCTTCAAACAATTTGAAAAAAAATTAAATGTTAAAGCTGAAATTGCACTTTTATCCAGTCGCTGGCATAACACAGTACAGACACATAAATCCCATTTTAGCTGAGTCACCAAACACGTGAGATACATGCTGCATGGGACGTAATGGTCAACGACGAAAGAACCCTCATTAACATCCAAGTTTCATCCATTGTTTTTCTGCTTATTATGTTGAACTGGCAGCAGGCTAAGCAGGGAAAGCTAGAAATCTGGCTTTGAGCTCAGCATGTAGGGCTCTGCGGTGCTGATTTAAATGGTCAACCGGTACCAACCCTTCTGTAGCCGAAATATTTCCAAACAGCTGATGCTGCATTTCTTTTCACAACCAAATCGTCCTGCTGTTCCAAGCTAGGTATCCAAGAACCCTCAAGTAGGAGTACATATTATACAATACAGACTTCTCTGTTAGTAGTGATGGAAAATGAGAACCAGAAGTTGTAGCCGGACATGTTTGACTTAATGTGCCTTATTTAATTAATTTATTGCACTTCCTGTGTTTGCACGTGGCCTTGTCAGGGATGAAGAGCCTAGTTTGGTGGTCTCAGCTTAGTTTTGAACATTTGTTGCTGAATTAGCGCAATCGTCTACCCACACTACTGTGATGCTACATGTCACTGTGTTTGGAGATGGAGGCCCGTCTGATGTTGCTGTACAACGACAAGCCAGAGCTTTTTAATTACAGCCGCAAATTAGTATTGATGAGGTTATGAAGAGGAACAGTTGCTTCGGTGACATGCAGAAATGTCCGATGTCTCTGTGCATTAATTCTTTAAACTTTACTCATAAGTCTGATGTAAAGAATGCATCCATCTGATATCTGTAAGGAATTACGAAAAGATGAACCACCCGCAGCTAAGTGGTAACAAGCGCTCATAAAAACCAACACGGCAAAGTAGACGCTGAGTTTTGTCTCTAACTCATCTACCTAATTAGCATAGCAGCAAATGGCTAACCCCTTTTTTGTTCTGTTTTATTCATCGTCGCTTTCCTGCCTCTCCCACCACCCGTGAATTTCTCTCATCCCGCTGCGTTTTCTTTTCTCTTCATCTTTTTTTCTCGTCTTTGTTAGAGACAGTTGCTGAGTTGCATTCGTGGAGGAAACTGCCCCGGACCCAACGTCAGCTCGCTGCAGTTGCCTGGAGATGTGAGCTTCTTTGCCAACCAGCTGGCTGTGCCCACCGTGGAGTTCGCCTTCGAGCAGACCAAAGCAGAAGAGGTACGTCCAGACAATACACACTTCTTCTTTTGTTTTTAACTTCCACTGCTCCCATGTTACCTCCTGATTATCTTGCACTGATGACAGCCCCATTTACTTAAATTAATGCTATGATATGTGGTCACTGCAGACCAGAGGAGCTGCTGTAATACATGTAGTTTCTTCAGGGGAAGTAAAGCCTCCCTCAGTGAAGATCCACACACCTCTCAGTCGTCTGTGCATCACATGTTGAAGAAGAGCATTGTCTTAAATGTCTCACCAAGCGAGATAATTGCACTAGAAAAAAGATTCCCAGTGTCTGCCTGATGTAATTTGTCTCATCATGTGATAACAACCATCTGCAGCCAATAAGACTAATGGTATCGCTTTAGATATGAAGATCATTACAAACTCGCTCTGACGCACCGCAATATGGATTATGTCTCTTTCCAAGCAACAAATACACATCACAGAGCTTACAAATTATGCATGCCCCCATTTACTTCCATTAAAAATGCAGTATTGATGTTTGTTGCACTGCCTTGGGGTGGAAACACAGAGATTTAGCCCAAGCTAAGTCGGCCCACTCAAATTTGGAACTTCTGGCTAGGATGGCAACTTTGAGCTTAATTAGCGCGAGAGATCTTCATGATGTTTATCCGCCCCCGAGGCGGCTTCACAACCTGAAAATAATAGGTAGTGGAGGGCGAAATCCCAAGCACTGGCTTTACTGAGGAGAAACAAAACCCAAATTGAATTTTAAAAAACAGTCTGATACATAAATATGGCCGACTCTGCTGGGGAACGTCCTGTATGCATAGATTAGCATCAGCTCGATAGCATTTCGATTGAACCGCAGTCTGAGAAATCAGTGGGTAATCACATTTCCTGTACTACTTCATTTCTTCACTTAGCCTTTGGGGAAGTGAGACGGAGAGCAGGAGACACTTTAAGAGACTCAGAATCACTTTCCTCAGGAGGAGGCGTCGGAGTGCTCATGTGTAAAGTAGACACTGAGTGTTAGGTTTAGGGTTTTCTGATGGATGCAGCATATTAAACACCTTTTAGACGTGCACTCTGTTCTGACAGCATCTGAACATGTCTGAATGAGCACACTAGTCAAGTTTATATTAAAATCACAGCGGCAACCTTATTAAGTCAGACGTAGTCACATTTCTAGACAACGTTCAACACAACACACGTCTGGACCGCGTTAACAGATTAACCACTGACTTCAAGTTGTGTGATGTGATTTAGGGAAAGATTTTCCACATTTCAGCACCAAAAAAAACATCAAAGAGAGCAAAGAATGCAGAATATTAAAATTAAAATACCGTAAATCCCGGACTATGAGCCTTATTTCCTTAACCAGCCATGCTACAGGAAGTGTTCAGAAAAAAGCGTCTACGGTACGTATCTGTGTATGTTACCGCTACGTATTTAATTAAACGTTAAAACATCTTTCTGTGTAAATATCTCATGTTCCAACGTGGACACCTGCAGCCTGTGTATGTACACACCTGGTTTTCTTTTTAACGTTAGCGGGTCCGGCTTATATTCAGGTGCCTCAATAGTCCAGAATTTACGGTATTTTCTCATTCACTTCACCTGTAATTTAACATTTATTACAAACTGAAAAATCCATAAAAATAAACTTTATTGCAACGAAAACAGAGTCTGTCACAAGTCCTATTAATGAGACTCACCAGTAGTCAGTGACAAAGTTTAGTTTGTTGCTTCCAGCTGTTTGTAGGATTATTTCCTGAGTTTATTGAATATCCAAAGAGAGAAAGAGATCTATGCATATCAGTTTGTCCCGACATGAAGACAGAATCCATCAGCCTAAAACACTTTGCTTCCCATCATACATGTGAGCTCGTACACAGGTCATCAGTTAAATTGTTTGTTTCATAGCAGCCAGGTCGAGTCCTGAGCTCTGTTACAGCTGTAGGGATGTTTTTATTTTACTCTTGGCACAGTAGCAGTTAGATTATCATCATGGTCAGAGTTCCCAGTGTTTAGGAAATCATAAATAGCCGTCAGGTATCTGCACAGTTTGATAAGCTGCTGCTAAATTCAGTCTGAAGCAGTGATGTTACATAAGCCATGTGTGAAAAGAGCTTCAGACAGCAGTGGAAAATATCTATATATAATATATATAATATAAAATATATGTGGACAAATGATGTAGGTGCTTCACTCATGTGTTTTAAACTGTACATGGAAAAAGAGAAATACAGTTTAGTGACATTTACATCTGCAGCCAGCTGTTGTTTTAAACAGTGCAGCACCTACATGATGCTGTGCATGATCACGATACATGTAGGTCGAGCCTAATTGACTTTGGTGTTGTTGTTTTTGTTCCACTTGTTTTTGAGAGACGTTCATTTCATAAGGAAATAAGAGATGTTTGGTATCAGATTTAGTTACGAGTTGCGACAGGAAAACACAAACCACTCATACATTTTCTAAAAGACTAAAGATGTGGGTTTGTCTTCTCTTCCAGTGGCCAATTTCCATTCCCACAATTAATTTTAAAAATAAATTCATGAATAAATAAACCAACAATTTTCGTCAGTGCGGTTCGTTTCCCACAACTTCATGCTGACTGGTTTGGAAATGAACAAGTCTGGGTAGTGGTCCGTACACGATTTATAAGACTGATAGAATATTACTGCTGAAGCTGACCGTTATTTCTTGGCCATACGGCTGTGACGCCTCATATTGCAAAATTAAGTTTTGCCTAAACTATTTCTTTCAGTAAATACACCTCCTTTAACAGAGTGTGGTGCATGCCTGCCCGGATGCCATCTGGTTTCAGCCCGTAACAGGTCGAGACACCTGTGGAGTAGATACGAGTCGTTTTGTGATAAAAGTACGGCAGCCACCAGACCTGACAGTGGACCAAACACTCTGACACTCTGACACTAATTTCCTGCTCCGAGATGCTTAATAATACAAGCCAGAGGGTGTTATGTACATTATGGAGGATGAGCACAAATGTAAGCAGAAAGGTCAGATGTCCAGTGGACACAGAAAAAAAACTCGTGCACGTCCTCCGTCGGCAGTCCGCATGCAGCATCACATTAATTCAGTTTGCTTCTACGATAGCACACTCCAGTCCTCTCACATTACGGCGACCTATTGCTAATTTAAAGTTGTGTTTTCATAATGTGGAGACAGTTACGTAACAGAACTGCATTGCTGAAATAAGGTTACTGCTTTTTATAGTGTGACAGGCCTTCTTGGGTAACTTTAGCTGCTCCGGTGGATGCTGGTGTGCAGCGAGCATCCTCCATTTGTGCACAGTTTGGGTCCAAAAGTCAGTTTTGAAAGGCAGATGTCTGAGGCACCTGGGAACACAATCATTTCTTTGCTCAAGTCTAATGACACAAATGGAGCTCAGGATGTCAACAACGGTGTCAGTTTGGGAAATGTTTAGTTCAAATTACCTTCTGGTATTTTTAATGGTCGTGAATGTCATGTTATTATATTCTGTCAAATACTGTGTTTGCCATATCTTTTTTTTTTTTTTTTTTTTCTCCCACGCACTGAACACAGATTGTGTTCTGCTCTTTGGTTTTCCATTACACATTATCAGTGTTGCCATGGTGAACAGGCCTTATTTGGAGGAGGAGGGAGTGTAGCTGAGATTCTGCCTGATTTTCAGATTCTGTTAAAGCTGCATTTAGAGCAGAGAGTTTGGGAGAAGGTGGTAATAAAGTCGACTTTCCCATGAGTTGATTCCCTTAATGTAACTACAGGTTTATCCAAATATCAGTCAGTTATGTTCTGTTTGCTTCTTTTCCATTAAAAAACAACTAAATAGATCCTTTGCGTTTGGGCACCCGAACTTTTCATTAAAATCATTTTGTCCAGTTCAAAGAGCAAAACATTTACATGCCTTCACTCATAGTCGCACGCCGTTCAGTTTCTTGAATGCATGTATTTGCAGATTCTTCTAGAAATGTGCAAATTGTATTTGTGTACGTATCTGCAGTTTCTTTTCTGCATTTATGAATCCTGATACACTCACAAATCAGACAACATGTTTGCGGCTGTGGCTCAGGTGGCGGAGCGGTTGTCCTCTGATCGTAAGGTTGGTGGTTTGATCTCCTCCACAGTCGAAGTGTCCTTGGGCAAGACACTGAACCTGAAGTTGCTCTCAATGGCAGGCAGCACCTTGCATGGAGCTCATTGGTGTGTGGATGGGTGTGTGAACGGGTGAATGAGAAACACACTGTAAAGCGCTTTGAGTGCCGCTCAGGTAGAACAGCTCTATAGAAGTGCAGACCATTTACCATTTACAACATGTTTACAAGTTCTTGCACACATTCACAAATCTGAGGCTGGTTTCACAGCTCTGCACACAAATCAGCGACTATTACGACCGTAAAACGCCCACCGCCACCGATGGTATATGTGTTTTGGGTGAAAAATCAATATGAGACCTCACACAGTGTGCGTCATCTTCCTGCTAAGTCATCATAGGTTCGTTCATCTGTTTATGGAAACCACACCTTAGAGTCCAGGTAGAATCGCAAAACTAGTGATACGCTGCTCATTACTGTGGAAGCAAACAACATTACTGTCCCAAAACTGATCAGCTCAATGTCCCTTCAGACATACTGTATGCTTTAAATGTGACTTTAATATTCTGACTTCTGATAAACATGACTGCACTGCGTCAGCGCTGGCAACACTCTACAAGAATAAGTTTGGTATGAATTAATACATGGCTGGCATATTGTAGGGACAATACAGGAAAAATAGCCCCAGCTGTCTGTACAAACCTCTGAGGATCACTGCTTTGGTGCCGTTGGAGGATCTCAGGATGCCTTCTGATTAAACTGTCACATCTCTGCTGTTCTTTTCCTGGAGAGACGAGCAAATTCATTCACAGCTGATTAAAATACACGATGTGCTTATTTAGGAAACCAAACAGAAACTAAACAATGCACATTTCTGCCTTTGTGTGCAGTATCTAGAGTTTCCAGATTATGAAGACGGCCTCTGAAGTG